GCCTGGGTTTGAATAATTATAGTTGAAAGTTTCGTTCCAATACATCGAACCTATTTGAAATTGAGCATGTTTCATTAATCCGTGTCATTATTTTACTCTGAATGTCAAGATGTGAATAATTTCATTTATGCAATTTTGAAGTGGGTTCAAAATCAAATTATGGATCGATGGATGCCTACTCTTGTTGGTGGTTAGTTTTACTTAAAACTTAATTGGCTTCAATAAAGGAAGTGATTGATGAGTTCAAGTAAGTAATACAATTCCAGTGCCTACCCCCTTACGTATTAAATTTCATGTCTACATGTATGCCTAGAACAACAAGGTCTAAGGATTCTTATTCTAAGTCTGAAACTTAGTCTGTTTGCTTCTACAAGAACTTTGATTAATTATGTTTTCATTTGTATGGTAATTTTAGTTTTGGTTTTTATATTCATTTGTTTGTTAAATGTATAGTTTTGGTTGATTCGTGAAGCATAATGATGTTGTATCTTAATCATTTCATATTCAGCCTATAGCTACAAAACCAACAGGGCCTATATATTTTTACTTTCTTTATCATAAAGTTCATATTCAGTTCATTAGTTGAGATGCATTGCCTTGCGTTTGATTAGATAAAGGGTTATGCAAAACCATAGGCAATATTCGATATACTAACATAAAGATGGAGTTACATGTAGAGTGTTTTATATGCTTATCTTCAATTCTTGCTTGCTGCATCCTGTTTGCTTTAAAGTTAAGTGCTAGGAGTGCAAACAAAGTAGGGTAAGGAAGGGAGAGGTCATAGTATATAAATAAGGGATGCGTTTTGGTGAAACCAAATTCAAAATCATGAGATTTATGTCAAACAATGTCATATCATTGTGGAGATTTATGAACGTCCGTTGTCTTTAACAATTACATATGGGAAGAACTGAGATTCTTATGATCGGATTGCTTAATAGTTCTAAATCGAGATGTGGAAGGAAAAAAGAGAGTGAGTTTGTTGAATCACGATTATGGAAAACTTTCATTAGGCTTCATTCTTTCTGCCAGTAATTTTTCTTCTACCTATCATCTCTAATGTTGTTTTTGTTATCAGTTTACTTGAATTGCTGCAATACTCGATCATTTCTCGAGTATTTGGCAGACTGGTAGATGGTTGAGTTAATTCATTTAACCTCGCTGTACTTGTGCTTCTGTGCATCTTGTGACTCGAGCAAAATTTCAATTGTATTACAACTTAAGCCCTCCCCATGATTCCATCTTGGACAACGACCGTTCCAGTTTCTGCATGTACTGGTCTGGCTACCCTTGGCTGATGTTTGTGTTTGATGCGTGAAGATTTCTTTTTGGTACCTATTCCACATTTTAAAATTTATGTTGATCAGTTTCATAAAAGATCACAGGGATTACTGAGTTTATTGATTGACTTTTTTATTGTAGCCAACTCATATTCTTCCAGTTTCATTCAATAATCTTTGTTGTAGCTGGAGCTCTTGTTTACTCTGTGGTTCTTTTTAGTCAAAGAGAACTGTGATTTTATTCTTTGAAGTTGAAGTTGCGCCGGGAGGTTTACAATTTCCAGGCCACAAGCAGTCAATCCTCTCAAAAGCTCACTACATGAGACCTATGCTGTCGGCAACAAAATCTGTCAATATTAAATTAACTAAACACTCTTTTATCTTTAAAATTGGAAATTATAAAACAACCAACAAAATATTTACAGAACAAATAACCCAACTTTAGATGATTATATGCACAACAGTGTTGTCTCATTGCTAACTAGCGTAGTTCAAAAGATAATTAAATTTATTTTTTTTAAAGTCGAATATTCAAATTCTTATACTCTCACATTTAATTGTGAAGGGACGAACATAACTTTTCTCTTCACATATTAAAGAAAAAATGAGAGAAAATTAAGCATAATTCAATAGGTTAAGATGTATTTATTTCTTCCCTCCAAAGTTTTACTCCAACATTGTGAGGTATTATCTTATTATTATTATTTTTTTCAGTACAACATGTTGGGGAGGAGACTCGATCTCGCAATCTCTTGGGTTGAAGGTATATATCAATTACATGTTCACATCTTTTATCTATTTCAAAAAATGTCACCTATTTTACCAGTAGTATATCAAACACTAATATCAATAGTATATTATATACATATTACAAATAAATCAGACACTTATATCAGTACTATATCATATGTATATTACATACATATATCAATAGTAAGATATATTACTTGTATCATTTGGATAAAATTATCATTTTAAAATTGAATCTCTATTTTTTTTTAATTTGCTATATTTGAAAAATCTAGATATGATTGTTATTTTACTGAATTTACTTAATATTTTTTTTATCCATGGTAATAATAAATTGGGGAAGGACTAACGAGTTCTCCGTAACCACGACGTATGATGCTCTGATATAATTTTTGGTAAATATTAAAATAATTCCTTCAGTGCGTCGTTCGCACGCAAAGTCGAAAAGCTCATAGCTTAGTAGCCATTTCATAGAAGAAGACTAGAACTGAAGGGATAATACAGAGCGCGCGAAGCAAAGAAAATGGCGGAGCCTAAAGTAAAATACGATCGCCAACTCAGGTCCTGCTCATTCTCTCTGAAACCTTTCTCATTCTTTGATGTTGGTCTTCTGTTGACATTTTCATACTTCGCCTCTATCCTTGCTCTGTCTTTTGCCCTAATTCCGTGCCAGTATTTAGTATTACACTAAAACCCAAGTTCCAAGTCGTCCGTACTTGTTCTCTCGCTATTTTCTGTTTAGCTTTCTCTGTTATTCCGGCTACCAAAAGAAAACAACCGGAAATATATAAGAAAAATGCCGCATACGGCGTAGGAAAGGTTCGCGCGCTTCTTTATCTCTCAGAACGGTTTATAATCACCCAACAGCTATTTCATCACCGCTCTGATTAACTATTTACAATATTTTTCTTAATGGGAATTGCCGTGGTTTCTGAGACTGTAATTCTTGGAAATTCTGAAACATTTTGCATGATTGCAGTTTTATTTTCTTTTATTTTATTGTAACTATTTAGTGCTCAAAGATGCCCAAATTTGCGGGAGTTGACTAGTCATGAATTTACATTCGAGCTTAGATTTTACCCACTTCATCACTCCAACTCAGTTTTTTTCTTCTCTTTCTTTAGTGAAGTTTTGTCTCTTTGGAGAAATGGAGGTGTCTAGAATTTCTTTATTTCGAGTACAACAATGATGAGAAATTGAACCTCCTTGAAGTAGATGTTATTTACCACCGAGCTTTTCTTGGACTAGAATTTATTTATTTGGCGGACAAACTTACCATTGAGAAAACTTGCTCGACTTAATTTAACCATCTTTATTACCTTTCAGTTCTAAAAGTTTTTATCCCGTGATACTGTAGGATCTGGGGTGAACAAGGACAGGCAGCCCTTGAAAAAGCGAGTATATGCCTTCTCAACTGTGGCCCTACAGGTTCCGAGACTTTGAAAAATCTTGTTCTTGGAGGGATTGGAAGTATCACCATAGTTGACGGTACCAAGGTAGAAGAGGGCGATCTTGGCAACAACTTCATGGGTAAGTAATACGTATTTGTCATTGGCAATTGCCTATGGACCTATGAATAATATATTGACATAATTTAAGTAGCTCAATCAATCTGAAGATAAATCAATCATTCAGGACCACTTCCAATTAGCATTCAGGAGTTACCTTTTCAAAATAACGTTTTGAGAAATCATTGTCAACAATAAACAATCCTTTTTCAAATTCTGCAATCCATATATTATATATATTTGAACAATCTGCAGAATATTAATAAATACTTTTGAGCTATAACTACTTCTGTAACGGAAAAACAACACATAGTTTATCAACTAAAACATTTTCTTGTTTCATATCATTATTTTTCTAGTGGATGAATCAAGTATCGGACAGTCAAAAGCAAAGTGTGTATGTGCATTTCTTCAAGAGCTAAATGATGCTGTAAAAGCTAAGTTTATAGAAGAGTTTCCAGAGGCGTTAATTGAAACAAGACCATCATTCTTTTCTCAGTTTACGTTAGTAGTTGCTACACAGGTAATGTGATATTCATACTTGTTAATTTATGTGGCACCTCTTTACTAGATTTCTTGGTTTTTCTCTCACCTCTGTCATCTCTTATATTACCCCATCACGTCCTTGGTGCAATGGTTTTTGATATCTCTAGGATTGTTGACATAAATGAAATTGTTTCTTATAGAAAAATTATAAAAAATCAGGATTGTTTCATATTCTTTTTAGTTACCATAGTAGAAATGTATATTCTTTTTTACAAGAAACACAAATTTTGGTAGAGTACTCAAAAGCCTGGGTTTTGTTAGATTGTGAGTTTTTTGGATACTAGTTCTGTAATATGTTATAGTATGGCTATAAAAAAAAAATGTTATAGTATGGAAACTTTTTTCTAAGGTTTTGTTGGGGATAGAGTGAAGATTTACTTGTATGTGCTATGTGGTTTATAGATTTGTTGTTTTGTTGAAACTTATGTAACTTTTCACTATCTTAATTGCACTTTGTAACGGATGCTTTGAATTTATTCAGTTGGGTGAGGAGTGGATTGTAAAGCTTGACAGAATCTGTAGGAAGGCAAATGTCATATTGATTGTTGCACGCTCCTACGGCCTTACTGGGCTTGTCAGAATCAGTTTAAAGGTAATGTATTTACTAATGGTACTTTAGTTGTCCAACCTTAAACAAACTATGATCAATGGGAAAACTTATATTAGTTACACAGAAAAAACTATGTGGTATGCATAGAATGGATCAAAATATTTATGTTACCTCCTTTACGAGAAAAAAAAGCTGACTGACATATGCTATTTGACTAATTTGGACCTTTGCAATCCTCTTCTTGAACTTATATCATTTTTAATTATGGTTATTTWCCTGATTTGTGGCTAAATATCAAATAACTAGTTGTGAAGCTTAGCTTGAACTTGGAGAAATAGAGGCTCATGAGTCGGAGCTTTTCCAGGTGGAAATGGTAAAATGCCGACTCAAAACAACTTGAACTATGACTTTTTTGAGTCCTGTATGTAAGCTACTTAATAAATACTGAGGTCTTGTGTGCCAAAAATTTTCAATAAGGTTGCACTTCCACTAACACTTTCAATGTTCCAAATAAGTTTTTCCCACTCGATTTCCAAAAAGTAAAAATTTATAAATAGTCAAGGGTGCTAAAACTAGATATTTTATCCATGCATATCAGGAGCATACTGTCATTGAATCAAAGCCTGATCATTTTCTGGACGATCTCCGGTTAAATAACCCATGGCCAGAGCTGAGGAGGTAGAGTCTTTAGTCAAAGCCTTTCTATATTTTTAATTGGATGGATTTTATGTGTGAATATTGTCGTTTGCATTTAGTTTCTGGTCTATCTAAGCCGTGAAATTTACTACCAAGTATGGCTACTGGTTTGAAGTTTCATTCTTTCAAGATTGTGATATTGCATGCACTCACCTCTTACAGGTTTGCTGAAAGTATTGATGTCAATGTTCCTGACCCTGTTGCTCACAAACACATTCCATATGTTGTTGTCCTTGTCAAAATGGCAGAAGAGTGGTCCAAAAGCCATGGCGGCAGTTTACCATCAAGTAGAGAGGAGAAGAAAGCGTTCAAGGTTGCATTACCTTTTTTTTAATTATTATTTTTAAATCAGAAAATACAAAAGCATACAAAAGGGCAAGGTTGCATTTCCTTTTTGCAATCAGTGATCTTTGACAGTTACTAAACTTATTGGCTCTTGGACAATGTAGGATCTTCTCAAAGCCAAGATGATTGCAATGGATGAAGATAACTACAGAGAAGCTATTGAAGCCTCTTTCAAAGTCTTTACTCCTCATGGAATCAGTAAGCAAGCATTTTTTTTTAAGCATATAGACTAATTGATTTAGAACACAAACCTGTTGTTGGTCTTTGATATTGGTTATGAAAAATGTTTTATCAGTTGCTTGTGTGTATTCTTGCCTTTCGGAACTTAGGCTAACTTCTATAGGCCTTTTGTTGAGAATCCATCTCTTTTTGACAAAGCAATGCCTAGAAGGTTCCTCGTCCCTGCAGACAAGTTTGATTACAGCTTATTTTTTAGGACCTTATAATGCTCTAGGTCCAGATGGGTGTTATTTGCTAAATTATTTAAGAGATGTTGAAATACTCTCAAGCATGATATTACGGAGGTGTTCCATGATTGCTTGAGAGTGGTATCATTATTGCTTGAGAGTAGGTTCTGGAATGGTCTCTGGCTTCAGTACATTAGCCTCACTACCTGTTTATAAATCGTCATTGCTAAAGTCCCGGTAGAAAGGCTCAGGAAGTTTCTTCCTTCAATTATCTCTATTCCCCAATTTGCTTCCATTGAAAATCGTTGAGTTATTGTTATTGCTAATTAGCTTATTGATGAATGGCAGAGAAATAGAAAGAAAGGTTTTCTTATTAAATTAGACCTAGAAAAATCCTTTGGTAAAGTGGACTAGTACTTCCTAGAAAAAGCCTCCAAGCTAAGGGCCTTAATCTTTGCTGGAGGAAGTGAATCTTCGTCTGCATCTTTAGTATCAATTGTTCCATTCTTTTGGATAGGAATTGTCCATGATCATTAATGGTAGGTGAGGGAAAATAACCCTTTTTGGTGGAATCGGACCATGGATTCTCTTTCTCCCTTTTCTTTAATTGTCTTGGTAGACTTCTTGATAAAGGTGCTTGATTTAGCTTGGTAGGACACTTTATTGTGGAGTTCCACTATTCTCAGGCTGAAATTTGGATAATCTTTCCAACATTTTCAATATTATAAAAAACTCTGGAGCTGCTTTAGGCCTTGATTCTGACTTCATTAAGATTGTTAATGCAGGCATCAATTATGAGGATTTCATTGTTAAACAAGTCGATTCTCTTTATGACTGAAGTGTCCCCTCCATCTTGTTCTTCCTTTAAATGGTAGACTGCAACCTACTCTTTTTGTCCTCCCATATTGGAGAAAAAGATTGAGTGCAAACTCTAAAATGGATCAATTTCCTCATTTCTGAAGTGGGCAACAGGGCAAGTTAGCTCCTATTTAAGCTAACTCTTGTAGATCTTCCTTACTGCATGCCTCTTTATCTCATGTTCGTTAAAGTTGCGAAGGGTATTGAGAGTATTGAAACTTTCTATGGGTAGGTATGTCTTCAGATGCTGGTTCTCACCTTGTCAAATGGTCCAAAGTTAGGTCTTGGTATAGGTAATATCTCGAAAAAGATGCTCCATGGAGGATTACTATGGGCAACATAATGGAATAGCAAGTGGTTGGGGAACATATCTATTTATACTTCTAAAGGGCCAGCATTCTATCTTCAAGCTCAAGAATATATCATCCTCCAAGAATTTTGTTGGAAATGGTGGTATGACTTGCTAATGGAATGATCACTGTATTTCTAGGGGAACTTTCTCTTTTTGCTCGTATGCCAGCGAAATCTGAGGAGAAAGCCTTCGTTTCCTCTCAATGGTTCAAACTAACGTCAACACTAGGTTCTCAGACTATCTTTTAGAAAGGAGAGGAAAATCTTGTGTATCACGAGACCTTTATTTGATACTTACAATTCGAAAGCAATAGTAGAATTTTCAAGATATTGAAGCATCCTTTCTTAAATTTTGGTATAATGTGATTTTTATTTCTTTTACTTGGTTCAAATTCCACCATCTGTTTTGTAATTATAGCTGAACAGTCTTTGTGTCAAAGACATTGGTAGTGGAACAAAAAATAAATCTGTAGGTCTTTCCTGGAACTGCTAGTTCAACTTCTCTTGCTCTGCTCAGAATTAGTTTTCATTTTACGTGGTCCAATCACTTCAGCATGTCATGGAAGGATTTTGGAAGACCACCACTTATTATTTATACCTAAAAGCTGAACTCTTAACTTTAGAAATTTTGAACATACGACATTGACTGTCTATGGTTTCAATATGTTTACAATTTTAGTGTTCAATGGTGTGTTTTAAGGTTTTTGTTGGAGTCTAATCTTTTTAGTCTTCCAAAGGTGACGGTTATAATCGGATGTCTAAAATATGAGCTTTATCATTTTCTTCCTATCAGGTCCAGATCTGAAACAGATAGTTGATGATAGCTGTGCTGAAGTTGATTCTAATTCATCGGATTTTTGGATATTAGTGGCTGCTTTGAAGGTTACTGAAAATTTTGCATTGTTACATTAGTTCTGTATCTTTTATGAAGTGTCTGTTTCTTTTCTCTCTCTCCCTCTCTTTTTTTTTTTTCTCCTAGAGTTCTTTAACTTGTTATTTGTGAAATTTTATATTCCAAATTCCAACACTTGACTGCTTCTCAGGCATTATTTCTAGTTGTGGAATTCAATCTTGTAAACTACTTGAGGTTCTTAGGATTGACCAGTCACCATCATCATACTTAACTTACCATTTTTCTAATGCATATGACTGCGAGATATGTAATTGATTTATTACATGGATATTGCTTGATTCTGTGCCATGCAGTTCATTGCTTAACAAGTAAGCCTTAGACCTTGGAAGGATCTGCTTGTGGATTTACTTATTTGTTCTATCCCATTTGGGGGATCAGGAAATTCGAGGGTAGATTCATTTGGATTAACATGCCATTAGATTACATTGGTAATTTAACTTTGCTTCTGGTTTAATCTTTTATTTTATAACAGTTAAAAATCTATTAAACATGTTAAACTTGTATTCCTTATGGTTTAAATCAATAATTTTATGAGTAATTCATGCATTACATATGATTTTAGTAAATTTCTAATATTCGTATAACATATAACTAAAAAGTCACAACTTATTTATTTTATTAATATTATCAACACTTCAATGTTTACTTTTTATTATTTTTTAAAACTTGTATGAAACAATGTATTGAAATCTATTGAACTGCTGCTACTGCTATTCTTCTCAAACTTGTTACCTGAACTTCATGCAGGAGTTCATAGTGAACGAAGGAGGTGGGGAGGCACCCATGGAGGGATCAATACCAGATATGACATCTTCAACTGAGTGAGTGATTCGATTTTCTTTGGAATACTATCAGTGGAATTTAATAAACTTATTTATCGACTGAAGGCTGGATTCCAATTTTTGTAGGCATTATGTTAATTTGCAAAACATCTACCAAGCCAAGGCCGAGGCTGACTTTATGGTAATAGATCAAAGAGCAAGGAACATTTTGAAAAAAATTGGCAGAGATCCAAATAGCATCTCAAAGACGACAACCAAAAGCTTCTGTAAAAATGCAAGAAAACTGAAAGTATGCACTGAACTATTATATTACTATTATTATTTTGTACAATCTGCTGGTATCTCAAGTTGATATGACATGGATTTTCTTATTATAAAGCTTCCATTCTCTCTTATCAAAAAAATATTATAATGCTTCCATTCTCCAAGATATGCTAATAATCTTCCTTTAAAGAGCCTAATTATGTTTTAGCCATCAAGAAATATGCGGTCAGGGCATTTTTTACTTTGTCCTGGGTGTAGTTCTGGAGTCTATCACAGGACAGAAGTTTCTCCAACCGAATAGTTGTTGTCTCTATCTTGTTTTAAAAAAAATTGTTTCTCAATAAATTAAAAAAATTTTGAACTTTATTATACTTCAACTGGGTTGAAAGTATGGATGCATGCCTACAAATGCACGCATACATAGCTGTATTTTTTCTAATGCATTATGGGAAAATTTTGTAGGTTTGCAGATATCGTTCGCTTGAGGATGAGTTCAATTCTCCAGTCTTCACTGAGCTACAGAAGTATTTAACTGACGAGGATTTCAGGTGACACGAAATTTGTTAACGTGCTTCTTCTATTGCTTTCTGATGTTATGTTTTTACCATACTCAGTGGCAACGATGAATGAACTATATTATATAAGTTGTGGGCTACATTTGTATTCAAATACAAGGGAGTAAAAAACCGTATTCTTAGAAATTTATGGATATCATGATGTGGTTTTTGAAGGTTCTATTCTCAGAAGTGCTCACTTGGATGTGTCTAATGCATATAAGCATATGTTAACTCCTTGGCTACTATTCAAGCTTGACAGTTGATTAACTTTCTTAATCTCCTTTGATTGTTGTCTCTCTCTTAGTTTAGGATGGACGACAAGCTTTTGTTTACCGTTCATATTTTTCTTAGCAAAAACAAAACAAAATTTTTTATTCCCTTTATGTATTGGTGTAAAAACTATTTTTTATGCTGTTTATATCATTAATCTTAAATTTGGAGCATCATATTACATCCCTGCTTTCTAGAAGTATTTTCCATTTCAACATCTTCCTGCCGATTCTGGTCTATTTCTTTTCAGTTATAGAATTGTTTCATGCAACCAGTTACACCGGGAGTTGTCTGATTACTATTACATGGTCTATTTATTTATCCAAAACTTCTGCAATCAATTTATACGTTACCATGGAGTAGTCGGTTCCTCTGCATGTGCTTACTTACCAGCATAGCTCTTGGAACTTCTCATCAATTGAATTCTATTTTATATATTTTTTCTTTTTTTTTAGCAGATTCTATTTTTTTTCTTTAAAGAAGTAATCTCTAATCTGCAAAATGTAATGAATTGAAAGGCACAAGTATCAGCCACACATTGTTAGTATGAATAGTTACAATATACTGATTTTGATTTCTCATTTTCCAGTGTCGCAGTTGGTTTCTATATTCTGCTTCGAGCTGTTGATCGTTTTGCTGCCAATTACAACAGTTTTCCTGGGCAATTTGATGGGTAATACCTCCTGCTGTTGTAAATGGATTATGTGTTCATCATTTGCCACAACTCACTCTGCATTGATGATGTATACTTTATAATTAATTAATGCCTTGCAGGGGGATGGATGAGGACATATCCCGATTGAAAACTACTGCCGTTGGCCTACTCAGTGACTTGGGTTGCAATGGCTTGACATTGTCAGAGGATCTCATTAATGAGATGTGCCGATTCGGCGCTGCGGAGCTCCATACAGTCGCTGCCTTCATTGGAGGGATTGCATCACAAGAAGTAATCAAGGTAACATTCACATACTTTCTGAGCCTTCTCTTATTTTTGATCTGTCAGTGCCAGTGGATATAGTAAGATTGGCAAATTAAATTTCATTCATCATTTCTAGTGTCGGTGGTCATTTGCTTATGGGGCTGCATTTGAAGTCAAATGAATTTGATATTACCCCACCAAAATTTACATTTTCATAAGAGTTTCTCTCCCCTAAAATGACGTATTAAAAAAGTTCTTTTTTCTTCAGCTAATCACCCGACAGTTTGTACCCATGTCTGGAACTTACGTATTCAATGGCATTGATCACAAGTCGCAGTTGTTGTCTCTCTAACGGGTTTTAAAGCCATAAAATGTTGAGAAAGAACTGGTATCCATCACCTTCTCCCCAATACCATCAACCTTGAAGTTTTGCTGGATTCCAGATTCACCTCTTCGGTTTTCATTGGCGGACCAGACACTTTCCCTGGAGGAGAAAGCGCTCACTTCTTATTTGGAGTTATGGTGCATTGTTGTATTCATTGCTCAATTCATACTTCGTGCAATTCCCTGTTGATGAAGGTTCGATTAGATCGAAATTTTGATCGTATCTCTGACTTTGCAGAGGGAGAGCAAAAGGGATTATTAGAAAGTTTCTGATTCTATATCTTATTTCTATCTTTATGACCTTCAGTCCTATGAGTATGACCTTTCAATGGCCTCCTCGAACCAATCTGGGTTTCAAAATATAACAATTATGATCGTCTTTGGGGCATTGCTGAATTTGGTGAACGTCATTTATCGTCTTTTCTTTATCATTGTTACTTTCTACCCAGTGAGTGTTCTGAGCTGTAACTATACCATTTCAGGAACTTGTTGCACTGGCACCTACCAACGCGTTGGGTATTAAATACACATATTCGGTTTAAGTATATGATTTTCAATTTTAAAATATAGTGATATTTAAATCCTATTGATCAACCTAAAATCCCATTGATTATGGTATCTTATTGCTTCTGGATTTTGTAAAGTATAAGCCCAAATAGAAGTTAAAAAAATTATTTAAAAAGATCATTTGAACTTTGACTAGAATGTCTATCTTGAGCAAGAATTATTAACTAATCATGATCAAGCCAATAAATAATTGACAACGTACATCATTTGGCTATAATTACATCATCAGATTTTTGTCACAAAAAATCATTGATCATTACTATATCAACTATTATCTCCTGGAATTGTAATTACTTTTCGTGCGAAAAAGGAATGTGAGGTGTGGTGGTGGAAGTAGACAGATGGTGGTGGGTAGATGAGGAAGCATTTATGGGACCTGCAAATGGAGATTTAGGGAATGGCTCCACAAAAGAATGGTAAAAAAGTTGCTCTCATACTTTTAATAAGGACAAGCATATGATTCTTTACCAACATGTTTGAACTAAATTTTCAAATTTCTGGGGAGTYAGGGGACTCAACTAAAATTAAGAACAAAGTATAATTTATTTTGTTAGCTTGCGGATATGTCAATTAATCTCATGAGACAACTGCTTGATCTCATACATTTGGTTACCAAAGAACTTTGAGGACATAGGTAGGTGACTATTATAGTTTGAAATCATTCTATCTTAATTATTTAATTGTTTAGAACTTACTTCACTAGCTTCTTTGGAATATTAAGACTATTGGTAAGGCATTATTTTATCCTAGTGAATAGTGAATCTAAATCTTATTTAAATTCCTCACTTCTGCCCATTATATTTTAGTCTGAATGCTATCAAATTAAGCCCAAGACTTCGATAGTTAATTTTAGAAACCGACTAAATATTAGACTACTACCATAATTCAATCTTTTAAAAAAAGTGTAGAGAAAATGTCCCACTTCAGTGCTTTGGGAAATATTGGCTCAAAAATTGAGAGACACATAGCACAGAAGTCCATCAGGCAACAAAATTTTTCATCGGCTATCAACTTTCTATCCTCATCAAGAAAAAGAGCGTCTTTCAACATTGTACGATATTCAAACAACAATACTCGCCTCAATACTCGTCAAAATGCATACTCATTTACATTTTTGCTATTTTCTTAATTTATTTATATTGATCTATTTCTATTTGGATTATACTAATATTTTAAAATTTTTGTGGACTAATGTACAAGTATGGTTGGTATTGAAATATAAAGTATAACTTTATATGAGGAGAATGGAACCCATTTGGGCATCAAAATGACAAAAATTAATAATAATGTTAAAAGAGCCCCAATCTATACACTCTATAATCAAGGTCCTTATTTATGTTCTAACTTTATAAACATTTTTTAGAGTTTTGGAGAGCAGAGTTTAACCTTCAGAGTCAGGATTGTCCGTGGTGATTGACCCTTAAATTCATGATGATTCAAAGAGGCATGATTACATAAGTAATGAGATTTTAGGGGTTGTTTAAAAGCTGTTTACAAAACAGTTTTATAGTTTTTTAAAGATAAAAACTTTAATAAAATATGTTTGGATAAAAAATAATTATTGGTTTATTTTCGAGTGTTATCGAGACTGTCATTTCCATTCCGTGAAATTCTACACAAAATTTTGTAGGAATCGGGGATGAAGATTTTCTGCCAGGAACTCACCGATAAATTAATCTTCCAAAATAAATCTTCATGTGAATGGTTAAATTTTCATGAGGAATCCCCATCTAAAATATAAATTTATTAAAAAAAATTAAAACACTTAATTCATAATACAAATTATAAAATAAAAAAATCATAATAAACAAATCTTAAAATATAAATTTCACTTACAAACACAACAATTTGTCGCAAACCAACCGATTATAGAATAAAAATGGGGTAGAATTAAGAAGCTCATCCCTACTTGTGTATCTCTTTTTTTTTTTATGAGTTTGTTATTTATTCTAAAATTACAACTTTTAAAAAAGATTCTACAAGTTAAAAAAAAAAAAGGAAAAACGCGTGTATCAAACAATTTTCTGGTTCCTAAAAACCCACAAATCGTATAATTGTAAGAAAACGATAAATTTTTGTTAGAGAAAATGCCTCTTATCATTATCTAGTCTTACTAATATTATCATAATGTTAATACACCATTCTTCAGTAAAATAAAATAAAAAAATACAACATTCTTATTAATCCATTTAGCTCTCTATTGTGTGATTACTTTAGTCAAAATTTATCTAATAAACACATTATATCATCGTTTAATTAATAACGAGATTAAATAAAAGTAAAATAAACTTTTTGGAGATAATAATTAAAATTAAAAAATCAAATAAATATCATCATCAAATAAAAAGACAAAGACTAAATTAATTACAATTTACAGTTCGGAGCTCCCCATTATATATATATTTTTTAAATGATCAATTGATTCGATGAGGAGAGTTTGGTAATTTGGCGATATGGAGAAAGATGACGCTTGTCAGTCTTCTCTCTCATCCTCTCCTCTGTTCCCATTCAACTTACCTTCTCTGCAAAGGCGTCTTCAAATCTCTCTGCAGACTCTGCACACAGCGCCCAAAGCAAAAGGATAAAGAAACGAACAAACCAGAAGTAGAGAAAAAGAAAATTCAAGGACCCCCTTTATTCCGATTTCCGATACTCTCACTGTTCATCCTCAATTTTCCCTCTCTTACTCTGTTTTGCTCGATTCTGTTCGCTTCTACTGATATACTCAATGGTTGTTTTCTCGCCGAAGTTGCTGGGTGCTACATAAAATACCCAGAAGCAAAAATGTCTTGGAAAGCCAAGGGGGATCATTATTCTTCGAGAACTGTTCTATCCCAGAAATGGACCCTCTTCCTTTGCTTGGGGAGCTTTTGTTCTGGAATGCTCTTCACCAACAGGTTTTGATTTTTAAACTCAGATTATTACTTTCAATTCATGTGTTGTGAGAAATTGTTCTTGTTGTTTGTCTTCGCCTCTGTGAGATGGCTTCAATCTTTGTTTTCTCGATTTCGTTGTTGATTTTAATTTATGGGATTCATATTGATCGTCTTGTTTGTTTCTATCTAGAACTAATACTGTACTGATATTTGCATTATTCGAAGTTCCTTTTCTTCCCCCTCCCTGGATCATAAGTTTTGGGAATATTTGTCTTCTTTTCATGACGTACCCTACTTTACTCAGATGATCCAAAAGGACGCGTGTATTGAAATTTTGTTTTCTTCTTTTTTTCTTTTTCTTTTGGTTTCTCTCTCCTAATAATGAATGGGAGTTAGGTTGATCTTATGTTTTCTTCTTTTTCTTTTTCTTTTTGAGATGCAATGGCCTAAGAATTAGTATTATCAGCAACTGCATATCTGAACTTCTGTTACTGAAAACTTAATTATTTTGTCCATCTCTCTTCCTATAAATGAACGAATTACTAGGGTGAGGTGGCTGATATTAAAACCTCAATATTTCTGGTACTTCTAATTTTGCTACGAATTCTATTCTATGTACACTCTTCAATTTGCAGCATGTAAAGAAATGATGATTTAGAATTGTGGGTTGGTGGTACATTGGCAGCAGATTTTGTTTATTTCAATAAAATGCTTATGATGAAATATAATATTTGAATGGGGAGTTTCATTTTTTAGTTTTTCTTTGAAGCCCAAGTTCATTTTTGTATTATCCTTCTGGAATCTCCTGTCTTTAAGTATCCTCTATATTCAATTAAATCATTGAATTACCAAGCAATTGTATTTCTACTAGTTTCTTTTTTTAAATCTTAGCTGATTACCACCAAGTCTAATTGTTTTTAGGAAGATGTGGTTCATGACTGATGACAGAATGGAATTTTTTGCAGGATGTGTACCATTCCTGAAAATAAAGGTATGGCACGAACAACGGCCGCAGAAGCTGAGGAATTGAAATCAGTTTCAGAGGGTTGTAATCTTAAAACTGTATGCATCTTCAAATTTCTCTTACTTCTTCACTGCTATAATGAACGTGCTAATGTAATTACTTTGGCGTCCACATGTTAAGTTCTTCTTCTTCTCCTCTCTCTCTTTTTGGATTCCTGTAGTTACACCAGAAGGAGGTCAATTTTTCATCTAAAGACATTTTTGGAAATGTTTTTAAGACTCATAATGCTATACAGTAAGTACTTGTTTTATTTTTTATTTTTTTTTATTTACACGGATTGGGACCTGATACACTTTAGCTCTAATTAACTTAGTAGGCGTGTTAATGCAGCACATTAGATAAGACAATTTCTAATTTAGAGATGGAATTAGCTGCTGCAAAGGCAGTACAGGAATCTATCCAAAGCAGTTCACCTTTATCTGAAGATTCAAAGCAGACAGAAACATCTGGAAGAAGAAAGTATTTGATGGTTGTAGGAATCAATACTGCCTTTAGCAGCAGGAAAAGAAGAGATTCCATTCGTGCGACCTGGATGCCTCAAGGTTTGGATTCTTTTGCTGATTGTTTTTCTTCTTTTTTTTTCATCTGTTCTTTCAATTATGTTATCTGTTTTCTCATTTTATTCAATCTCATATTATTCTTATTATTTCCATCTGATTGTTGCTTCTGCTTTTGCATTTTGTTAAAAAAAGGTGAAAAAAGAAGAAAGTTGGAGGAAGAGAAAGGCATCATAATTCGCTTTGTCATTGGCCATAGGTCACTTTCCTGTCCTCTTCGAATTTCCTTAAATGTCAAGTTCAAATTAGGTGGCATTGAATAATGCTCAAGTATGTTTTTTTGTTTGAAATACTTTGCCTTCTTCTCAAGAAAATCACCAGATCTGAATGCCTTCACTCTGAAAACGATGGAACTTCTGATAAGTATTTTCTGTGGCAGCTGTTTAAGAATTGCAGGCAAGAGAACATTTTCTTTCTTATTTTTAGTTTAGTTGCTTTTAATGGAAGCTGGCTCGTGAATGCCCCGGTCATATTCTCAGATTTGCATAATGTGACTAGATTCTGCCATCAAATGAACTGAAATTTAATTTAGAGATCATTTGAGTCAAATAAGTTTCAATCTGTCTCTGACCTGCACAACATTACGCCTTTGAGTGGATGATTTTCATTTTCCTTTAAATGGCTATTTTTACTTAATGATCAATTTCCCCTCCTTATATAGTACTACATCAGGAGGTATTCTGGACAGAGCTGTTGAAGCAGAAGACAAAAAGCATGGAGATCTCCTTAGGCTGGTAATGTTTTGTACCTATCTTCCACTGTTTCCTGAATTCCACAGGTTTAAAGTTATAGTAGGAGCCGCTATTTTCAATCCCTCCTTGCTCGGTCGATTGATTACTCACTTCGCCCTCGTTCGTCTGTGAGCAGGACCACGTTGAAGGTTACCTTGAATTGTCTGCAAAAACTAAGATATATTTCACTACAGCCGTTGCTTTATGGGATGCAGATTTTTACGTCAAAGTAGATGACGATGTTCATGTAAATATTGGTATGGTAATGCAGAGGACAACATAGAACAAAAATTGAATGTAGATCAAGTTTCCTTTATGTATTTCCAATCCTAGTCACATTATGACTTTTTGTGTTGAATTGTCACAGGAACGCTTGGTGAGACCTTAGTCAGACATCAAACCAAGCCACGAGTATACATTGGATGCATGAAATCTGGTCCTGTCCTTTCGCAGAGGTGAGACACTTTATCCTTCCACTTTCCCCTTTACATGAAGCGCTGAGCTTAGACTAGCTCTACAATATCACAGGGGAGTGAGATACCATGAACCTGAATATTGGAAATTTGGAGAAGCGGGAAACAAGTATTTCCGTCATGCTACGGGACAACTATATGCCATCTCAAAAGATTTGGCTACTTACATTTCAATAAACCAGTAAGCTTCAATATATCATGTACTTGAGATAGGACCTTTTCCACTGTCCAAATATGTATTTACACAGACGTTTTTGTTTAAAATGCCTTGTCTCAGGCATGTTTTACACAAGTATGCTAATGAGGATGTCTCCTTGGGATCTTGGTTTATTGGACTCGATGTCGATCATATTGATGATCGGAGACTCTGCTGTGGCACTCCACCTGGTAAAGTTTTCCCACAAAAATTATAGTAACGTTGTGCGGTGTGGTGCTATCAATAGTGGGTCAGGAAAAAAGAAAGGTCTATAGTTCATGGAAAATTTCAATTAGGTCTAGTTTGGTAGCCTACTAACCATTTTGCTGAAGAATATTGGTTCAGAAGTCAAATCCAGTGTTTGTTGGCCCCCCAGCTTCATCCTAGCCTGTCTTTCCCACATGGAAAGACACTGCATACCATAATTATATTTGAAATCGAATAGAATAAGAGCGCAAACTATTTTCAATTAGTATTCGTCGATTCGAAGATGGGAGATTCCTCTATTCAGTGTGTATTGTGGATATTGACCAAAACCAAGGTTACATTAATCAGCTAATTAGAATCTTGTACTGTAAATCTGACATCCTAGGGGGTAAAATCATCTTCAGAATCGTATTATCAAACTAGGAGAGAAAACAAATCAAATGCCTGATAAAGATTGGTACATAGGTTGCCTGTCACTATTGCTCTTGCAGATCTAGAAGCAAACTCTACCTGCCTCTTGTTAATATGAGAGTACCAATTGCAATCTTCTTGTGGTGCAGATTGTGAGTGGAAGGCTCAGGCGGGAAACATTTGCGTCGCCTCGTTTGATTGGAGTTGCAGTGGAATTTGCAGGTCTGCCGAGAGGATTAAGGAAGTCCATCGCCGGTGTGGAGAAGCTGAGAATGTACTATGGAACACCACTTTCTGAGATACTGCTTCGAACTTCTTCCAGACACGAAAGAATGAGGAGCTTGTTTGCTGTTGTCTGTAAAAGAAGCTTGCTAATCGCGTTGAATACAGAGATTTAACATTGTAGATAGAGAGTGAAATCGCTGCACGAGCCACCTCCAGTTTTGCCAAGGGTTGGCTAGATGAGCAGCTGAAAAAGAAAAGGAAGAACACAATTTCTTTGTGGCTATGAGGGGTAATGTGTAAGTTAAACAGTTCCCTACCGTCATGAAGGACATGATAATAAATACATATTCCATGGCTTCTCCAGATTCCCCAATTCACTTTCTCTCGACATTCCAGAAGTATGTTGTAGAAAAAAGCTTTCCCCCCTGTTTTCTTTCCCTACAATCTTTTGCATCATTCTCACTTTTATTGTGTGGGAGAATTCAAAAGAGAGTTCACAGGATTCTTGAAATAAGAGAAGAGATGACTAATCTAAATTAGAATCTAAGCTATTATGTTATTGGTCTTGACATTTCGGCTCCATTTGCAGTCATTTAGTTAAATATTAATGTCTTCCCTCACAATTTTAAGTTCAAATACCCTGTCTTTCATTGTAATATTATATTGCCACAGAGAAAAAAAAAAAAACTTTGAAAACATGCATCTTTTAAAAGGCAATATCCCAGAAGATGGATTACACTTTTAAGAAAAAGGTAAACTGATCAGGAAGACAAAAAAATGACCAACTTTGCCATAAAATGGAAATTCTCTCCACAAGTTGGTTCTTGTGTGGTCTGGTTTTACATTGCCAGCTTGAGGCAGAGCGGTGTGGTGATACAGTTTAAACAATGACATAGCAACTAATTTGCAGCTGAAATTTAGGGAAAAAAACAGAAGACACGACATATCAGAACCAGAAAGATGAATGCAAATTGAGGGACAGTCTTTGTCTTTCAGACAAAGCAATCTAAACGTCAAGATCCGGAGTCTTGGCCTTCTAACATTGATAATAATGTCAATTTCCTGTCACTCTCCCAAACAAAAATATGAACATGACAATTTTACGTACTAAATCAAAATTACAAGATTTACTACTTATAATTACCAATCACAACTAGTAAATCGACCATCGCCACTGTAACATGTGGCATGTCCAAGTCTTCTTCCTCGTCGCTATCAATACTATAATCAAGAGTGACAGAACCAACCAAAACAAAAAAAGAAACATATATTCTCTGTTGAATAAGACTCTATATATGTATGATGGATAATACAGCACGTGATATTGGCACGGCTCAATCAAAAAGAAGAACCCCAAGTAAAACAGAGCACTGCTTTCTTATTGAACCGGACCAACATCTCGTTTTAGAAAGAAAGAAAACAGAAAAGACCCCATAAAAAGAAGTTTCATCAAACCAAAACCATTGAAAAGAGACAGACAAATCATCAACAGGAAGAGCATAATTAGTTCAAGAAAGTTTCCAAGAACAATGGGAAACTTACTAAAATCCAAATAAACCGGTACATGGGAATTCTCAGTAGACGGAGACAGAGAAAAAGAGGGATTCAAACAAGTTGAAGAAAGGCAGAGAGAGGAAATGTTTTAAGAAGATCCAAAGAGAGAAGAAGAAGAAGAAGTTGGAGAGAGATGGGTGGGTGCATTA